TTAAAGTGCACCTAAACCCAAAATTTTTTTTCGCTTAACGAAATAAGCTTATTTTTTGGAGTATTTCTGTGCAAAAATTTTTTAATTTGCTCAAATCTTTAATTTTCTATGCCCAGTCAAAATACGGAAAATCGGCCGCCATCTTGCCCCACGACCGAGTTTAAAGAAGAATGGCTCTAGCGGGTAATGTGACGTCAAATCGAGAACACGAAAGTCTGCATCTCACACATTTTCACTTGTTTGGGAAGATTGTCGTCGATATTGTCCGAAATATGCCGACTAGGTGTGTTGTATGAAGAATGTATGAAGCGCGATACCCTCTTGCAAATTTCGCACGTTGCTACATCCTTCTACAACACACTTAGTCGGCATATTTTCGGACAATTATCGACTACAACCTTCCCAAACAAGTGAAAATGTGTGAAATGCAGACTTTCGTGTTCTCGATTTGACGTCACATTACCCACTAGAGCCATTCCTCTTTAAACTCGGCCGTGGGGCAAGATGGCGGCCGATATTCCGTATTTTGACTGGGCATAGAAAATTGAAGATTTGAGCAAATAAAAACATTTTTGCGCAGAAATACTCAAAAAAATAAGCTTACTTCGTTAAGCGAAAAAAATTTTTTGGGTGTAGGTGCACTTTAACTTTTATCTTTGTGAAGACTTGCAGCAGATAGATTTCAGTCTTCGATGATTTTGAGTCAAATTCTGTTCTATCGATAGTGCGGAACGGTTACGAAGTTTAGTCAGGGTAGTCTACCTTTTATGACTTACTTTCTGTTCATACTACGTCATATGTTAATTTTTATGCGAATGTTTCAGCGCTCATTTCAGCTCTCTGTGAATGAGAGGCAGTGAAATGTCTACGTTAAAATGCATTATTATTTGCTGTCTCCTATTCATTAGCAAATGCTGTGCGCAGCAAATTGTTTCGTGGTAAGTGTATAGACCTGTCCTGTCGGCGACCGATTGTCTCTCAGTTTTGTTTTTTGAAGAAGTTATCGCTTACGTTTTTAATACATCGCATAAAATTTTCGTCATTCGTATTTAAAAGCAGGAAATGTAATGAAAGACTGATTTTCTCAAAGGCTATGAATAGAGGCCAGTCCTACTGATAAAGGATGAACCGCAGCGCGGGTACATAGGATTTTAACCTTTATGCTGCGATAAATATGCTTTTCGTGTCGCATTTAGCTTTCACTATGTGTAAACAGATTTCATTTCATGTTTCAAATGAACTTGCGTGACTGTTCGAATTCTCTTTGTTGAATTTAACTACAAATTATATTTGAATATAAGATTAGTCAGCGTTGTTGTCTGTGATTATGCAAATTCCAAATTTGATTTTGAAAGACTCTTTTCTTCAACATGGCTGGTTGAATAAACGATCGCACGCTTCTTAACGTTTACTCGCCTTAAAAGGATGCTTTCGTTGCATGCTAGATCGGAGTTTGAACGGTCGCAACCCAAAGGGACTGTAACGTGACATTCCAAAGAAAGGTTGCGAAGAAGAAAAGCCCACGTTTTCTCTGTTGTAAAAGCAAACAGCCACATTTCACCACGATATATTCTCTATCTACAGCTGAAATATCAGTTGCCGAAGTTATATTCTTGGACACAAAAATTTTCGAAAGCGAGAGGTTTCACAGGGAATCGACGGACCCATTGCAAACGCTTTGCTAGACAGAGCGAAGACCTCGAATTTTCGGTGTCTAGTGCTTTAGCACGTACACACGGCTATGGAAGAGCGCAAAAAGTGCTTCATATACCGCAAATTATGACGTTATACAGGTAAGGCCACACACAAGTATACATTTTGTGATAAATGATATGAACGGGAAAGAAAATGTTATCTAGAGAATGTGTAACCTAATCGATTCATGAACACGAGGAGTTGGGAACGAAAAGACTAAGACGAATCCCATTCAAGAAAAAAAGAGCAAGGAATAGTCGCGACAAATAAATTAGGAAGCGAAGGGAAACGAGGAATTGATGAATCCACGTGGTTTTCGACCATGAGAATTGAGAAACCCACGCGAGCCAGTAAATCTGCTGTCGTTGACGGATAATTTCTTTGAGTAACGAACCGTCTGAGAACGCTGTGTCATTTCAATCGACAAAATAATTTTAAAAGTTGTGGTGCTCATGAAATTGAAGGATTTGGGTTTCTTGCTCTCTTCGCGAGCTGAGGGAGTGATAACTACAGGAATTTCAAACCATTTCTAAGAATAAAAACACCGATAGCCGTCCAGAGTAGCGATGAACAAGGTTTTCAGGACCACGAAGAAAAGAAGAGGTAGATGCAAATTAAAGGTTTTTATAAGTAAATCTATTTCTAAATCTTCTTGGTTTATAGCTTTGCTGCCGACTATAAGTTCTGCTATGTAAAATATCTAAACAGATGTGAGGGTGTAACTGCGTGACTATGCGTTATAGTTGGGCTACGATTTTGCTGTTTGATTCAAGTTCACTTAGCTTTCTCGTTTTTCGTATTCTCTGTCATTAGGTGTAGTTCGTTTCCTTTGTCGTCGTTGATCAAGGTTTTAGTGGTGCGTGCCATTGACGTTGCGGGATCAATATGTAAGTTTTTCAAAATTCTATTTCTATTTTCGTCTTGGTTCATATCTTTCTAGCCATTGTTTACTTACGCTTTGTGCATGATAATTAGCGATGTTACGCCCTCGTGGTCGCATGGAAATTTTCTATGAAATTTAAATGTTCTTTTATTTTAACTGAATTGCGGGGCAAGCTCATTAGGTACAATTGGTATTTCGCTTTTTATCGCATGTTTATTGAGTCACCAGTGTTTCTCTTAATTATTTTCATTGTATTTCGTTTGTGAATCTCCACGCGTGTTCTTACACTAGGTCCTCTTAACTTATTGATTTCAGTTTACGGAACAACATAGAAATTTAACATGATCAGCGGTTAAATTGCTTTGGCGTCTCCGTAACATATTCCCGTGTTTTGGCTCGTTACTACCCATCTGCTCACGATTTTTCTTGGCATTCCAATTCGCTTTGATGTTCGCTTACCGTTACAGAGGGATTTTTCACTAAGTTCAACTAGGCAAACTGATTGCAAATAAAAGCAAACTTGGAACTCATGCTTTTTAAGTTAACCACAAAAGAATAGTATCAAGTACTCATAGAAGAAGATTGTGTGTGTCAAGAATGAAGTTTTTGACTTCAGCTGATATTGAATTAAATCCTAGTCGTCTTCAAGATGTCAAAACTCAAACTACATTGTCATTAGGCATCACCATGTTGTTAAATTTTCGATTTCGTCAGCTGAGTTTGAGACTCTTTGATGTGGGTGATGCAAGTGACTGTTTCTTTAGAGCTGTTTCTCATCAGTTATATGGTGATCCTCATCACCACTTGTAAATCCGACAAGATGTTATTAATTATCTCACGACAAACCCAGAATATTTCAATAAGCAATACCCACAGTTCATGGGAGACAATTTGGTTAATACGTTACAGCAAGTTTAAAAATCTTGAGAATTGATGTTGTAGAATCCTATCAAAATTTTCTTGATGCAGCTTTAATTGTACCACCTCATTTATCGCGAAAGCCTCCAGCAACAATTTATTCAAGTCATGTAAATAAAGTGCATTAGGTATCAACAATGCTTTTTACGTGTAGCTCTAGTTCATTAGAAAGTCAGCATACTAATGACTTAAACAAAATAGAACAAAATGTTGTCTCTGAAGAATCACACAACCCCAGCCTACAAAGGGAACCCAACAGGTACATGGGGGGATACGGGAAAGAAAAGAGCAAACGAAAGTAGGAAGCAGACATCTAAGACCAGTGAGGTAAGTGTCAAAACGAATTGCAATCCTTACCCGAGAGATATGTGAACTATGTTCACAAATTGTGTTCAATTTTAGCTAAATAGTAGAAAGGTGTACCTGTTGCTTACCGTTTCGCTATATTGAACTTATTGAACCAGTGAGCTTGTCCTTCGTCCATTCATTCAGAAAATGTTTACCAACAAACATTTGACTTAATCATAATGATAGTACTGAAATGTTGTTGCCTTTGAACTGTATTACTTTCCCTTTTTTCTCTTGGACTGCAAGATGTCTAGTAATGTGTATATTGTACAAGCATTTTTAATTTTTTATTTTTTTTATGGGAACACAGCTAACTGAAAGATCTGTGTCAGAAGTTTGTGTTTATGCAATTATATTAGTTCCAGTTACATAATATAGAGTTCTTCCAGTTTCGTTGCTTATTAACTCTGAACCAAGTTTTAATAGAAAAAGCTTTTTCCATCTCTCCATGTAGGCCCATTATTTAGCCCATGACATGCTATTATCCGTACTTTGTAGACAATTAGAATACAAATTATACCTATGTTTCCTTAGAAAATCAGCAGTTTCTGGTTGATGAAAGTGTTACTTTCTACATTCCGTTTTTGCTGGCAGTGTTCATTGGTTATGTACTTTCCTCCAAATACAATTGGTAGATTAGTTACAAAAGCCCACAATCAGAATCAATTCAGCTCTAAGCTTTAGCAACAATGCACTATACGAATATAGTTTTATATCTGACCACTTGCAGCCCAGAGGCTGAATTACGGGCGCAGTGTAAGGTTGAGAACAGACGTCAGCATATCAGGCGCCTCTGGCAGCCGCTTCAGTCTATTGATCTCACCTTTCCACCCATCCCACCCCAGGGGAGGGCATCCATCACACAGTAATCTCGTGTGTGGTAATTAACGTCTCCTACCCCAACCCTGCAGGATACGGGACCTCCATTTATTCGTCCCTATCCGAGAAGACTAGAATATCTAACCATTTCTTGATGTTATAGAAAGGTAGCAAATTCTTCTCAATTATTTTAAGACCTTGAGTGTTGCTCCGGCCCTCCCGTACAACAGTCTAGCGCTTTATCCATTGAGCTATAGCGGGAGGCGGACTATATCACCAATGGTCCTAAAGAAGACGTTGCTGATAACTGCAACGATTCAAAATGCATACAAACAACTACCTAGCACTAGACACATGTATGCCTTGGCATACCTACTTTTATTCGTGTCAAGAAAGGACTCGTAAAAGGAGAAGCGAAACGCTTTCCAGGAATAATTTTGTCACGCTCCACATGTCATAGATTAAATACATTTAATTGTTCAAAATACGCTAAGAGAATAGGGTACACCAAGATGTAATTTTGAATTACGCCGTTTACTAAAGGCGTAAGTTATTTCAGTCGCCGGGTAGTATACATACTGTAAGATTTTACGCCGTGAAGTGACGCAGTAATTTCTTTCAGTCAGTAATCGTATTTCATAATGTAAGATATTACGCTTTTAACTAACGGCGTTATTTCTTTTGCATGTTTATATACAAACTGTAAGATTTTACGCTGTGGAGAGGCTCCCCTATACTCCTCTGTAAACTCAGTCAGTTAAAACTATTTGGCCTTTTCACGCATCACGAATAATATCCAAAATTATTTCACGTTTGCGCGAAATTTGGGACGATCACGTTTCACACAAAAACAAAATAACCAAATTCACGACCAGTCATCTATGACAATAGATTACGTAGTGCCTCATCTTCGTTGCTCAAGGATCATTAGTGGTCTGTATCTTTATCGATCCATATGAAGTCCATGACCTATCAAATCCTGGTCAAACTTAATCGCAGCCGTTTGAGAACAATACGTACATTTTCAAAACAATTAAACACCTGGGAATTCATCACGCAAAACAAAATGGTTCACGAATCACGTTTTTTACATAGCTATTCATTCACGAGTCACGTTTAGATAAAAAAAATTAGTTCACGTGGACATGAAAAGATTTTATCATCTTTCATCACAACTCACGAATAATGAAAAGCTCAAATCACGAATCACGTTTTTTACATAGCTCTTCATTAACGAGTGACGTTTAGATAAAAAAAAATAGTTCGCGTGGACATGAAAAGATTTTCTCATCTTTAATCACGATTCACGAATAACGAGAAACTCAAATCACGAATCACGTTTTTTACATGGCTCTTCATTCACGAGTCACGTTTAGATAAAAAAAAAAAAAAAATTATAAATTATTTCGCGTGGACATGAAAAGATATTCTCATCTTTAATCACGATTCACGAATAATGAGAAACTCAAATCCCGATTCACAAGAAACAAAATTGCCCAAACACGCTTCACGTAAAAAGGGAAACCTCCGTAATTGATAGCGTAGTTTCGTTCATCCAGTAACGTAAATTACGTTAAGATTTTACGCAGCTTTAACGGCGTAAAATCTTATAGTCGATAACATACATACTGTAAGATTTTGAAAGTCAACTGGCTTCAATGTGAATTGTTCAAGTTCAGGAGCGAACCTTATCTATTCATTTTGTTTTTCCTGACGATTCGATTCTCTACAAAGGACTATATTTACAATTCTTTGAAGTAAAATACATAAGCTCCATAAACCATTTACTCTACATTTCTAAATGCCTTTATCTTAAATTTACTACTTACCTTTTTTTGGGGTTCCGAAGTGTAACCAAACCATGTATACGTTTTTTTTCCGACGGTTAAAACTAGCGGAACAGCCGCCGCCATTTTGAAGAAGAATCGCATAGCTTTTCTTTGGTTTTGGTTTATTGCAGGCACTTGATAGGCAGAACCTACAATCGGCGACAAAATTCAGTGACAAAAAAACACCACTGATCTTTTTAACCCCTTCTATTACTTCAATTTTACCTCCTTTTCCTGTGCTAGGTTGACCCAGTGGGGAAGGGGGAAGCTACTTCGTGTTTACAAGATAAAACACGTGACGGCGATGAATGGTTCTGACAACTCGGATGACTCTTTTGCAGTTGACTCAGCACCACGTGTTTACAAGAAAAAACATGACGGTTAACTTTGGAAAATTGAGGAAATTTTTCCAGGCTGATTAATTTTTTTTAAGGATTGGGAGACGCCTTCCATTGGAACGAACATCAATACAAGTTAAAACTATCGGTGTCGGCTCGGCTGATTTATGCCGCGAGATTTTAATCAAGCCGCGGCATTGACACTCGCAAAACTAAATCAGGAAATAGAGGATTTTCAAGGACTTTCTTCGTCGTTCTTTATACAGAATCAGAGTACTATTTTTAAAATAACGACTGTGAAACATTTTGCCGACGCATATATACAGTTGTCCGGCGACGATAGAAATCGTTAAATTACAATTTACACTCACGGTTAATAATAGCTCAAATTTTGCTAATCATGCACGTTGCTCCAAAATTTTCTTCAGACGCAATTACCAGATCTGTTCAAAACGTAGAGTGGGTATTATTTCATGCAATTGTTCTGGGGCGGTTTAACCCCACTTTCAGGTTAGCGTACGTGGTTTCCTGGTAATAAATGGAGTGGCAGATTATAATTTATTTGATATTTTGAAACCAAAGATTTGACGATTACCAATTACATTTCTCTGATTGGTAATTTCATTTTCAGAATGAAGTGACACCCAGGGAAGTAGACCACACCGCACGCCATGCGTTTGTTTGAAGTAGACCAATTAGCCCTGCAGTTGAACCGCACTGAAGATGTAGTTGGACATTGTTACAACTGGAAAATCGAAAATCACACGATCTAGATTTTTAATGGCAGAATACAAGGTCAGCATGGTAGCGAAAGAAAAATCCTAGTGGCAAAACTGGCAGAGACACGGCCATAATAATAATAATGATCATTATTTTCTCCTACACAGTCTGTGAATGAAAATCGAAAATCACTCGATCTAATTTTGGAACTCCAGAAGACAAGGTCAACATGACGACTTCAACACGGATGAAGTGTGTAATTCTGCGAGCCCCACTCAAGTGGGGTTCATGTAAGCGAAGCTAAAATCATATTGGCTGAGCCGGCCGAGACACGTTTGACCCTTCCATAACAATGATAATGATCATTATTATCCCTATGCAGTTTGTAAATGAAAATAATCGAGTTCGTATCATTGTAAAGTTATAATTTTGGTCTCCGCGCTGTTTTAAGTTCAGTCCTAGTTCATGCTAAGTATACTTCTTCATGCGTCAGGTCGTAAAAGAGTATAGAAGCTTATTACCTCGACTTTTCGTGTTCTCTAATCATCAAATGCTGACAGCCTTATGTTGTCTCGCCTCAGGGTACTGGATATGTAAACAGTCATAATGAGGAGAAGTGGTCCATGCCACTTTCAAGTGTGGCTTATTTTATCACTCTCTTTTCGAAATGTAATGCAGTAATGTGTTTTAACTTTTATCTTTGTGAAGACTTGCAGAAGATATATTTCAGTTTCAATAATTTTTCAAATTTTACAGCTCTCTGTGAATGAGAGGCTGTGAAATGTCGATGTTAAAATGCATTTTAATTTGCTGTCTGCTATGCCTGAGCAAATGCTGTGCGCAGCAAATTGTTTAGTAGTAGTAAATAGACCTGTCCTGTCGGCGACTTGTCTTTCAAATTTGTTTTTTGAAGAAGTTATCGCTTACGTCTTTAATTCGTCTCATAAAATTTCCGCAAGTCGTAATTAAAAGCAAGAAATGTAATAGCGGACTTATTTTATTGAAGGCGAGGAGTGGAGACTCACAATATTTAAATTTATTTCCTCCTGCGACGCTTAAGCTATCGAACCCTTGTATGAGGCAATAAAATATTTTAGAGCATTTTATTTCATTTTAGCACCTTAAATCCATTGCTTGCGACTAGATGTGGCTCGGTTAACCAATAATCAATCGATGATTCAGGCGGTCGAGCAAATTTCCATTCATACCGACATACCAGAAGTTTAAAACCACAGACAATAAATTTCCGTCTTTCAACATACTTTGTACTTTAAACGACGTGTCGAGAAGAGATGGTTTTTACTCTTAGTAAACTATTTTCAAGGTTGTTAAGCGAGAAAACAACCTCCTGGTTTTTTTAGTCAACTTTCAACCTCTAATTCTGTGTAACGATGAATTCTCTCGATAAAATTAATGATCAAAGCAACAAGCAATTTTGACAAGGATTGCAGAAAATAACATGCCCAAACTTGCCCGGTACGAGTAATAGTACGTGTCCACGGTAAAACTCAGCTATAACAAAAAACTATTAAAAGAAATGAGTTTGTTTGATCTTAGACGTTACAAAACGAGGCAATGGAACTCACCTTTCTTTCCTGAGCTGATATTTGCTCTGCAGCAGCTGCGTGGAATCTATTGTTTTTGGAAAATCGTCACGTTATAAGCGACTGACTGACTTAAACACGAAGGCGCGCTATATAAGGAAGTCTACCCTGGGAAGACCTAGGCTCATTTGTCACTCACCGTTGACGTGCGCGGGTCAAATTTAGAAAGGCGGGCGATTTGAACACTCGAAAGGTAAGGTATACGAGAATTGCTGTGCCTTTCCTGTCTTTACTTGCCCTAGAATTGAAATATCTTTATTTAATACCAAGTAGTACTTCACAGATTAGAATTTTATCAGACGAAAGTTTAATCGAGGAGCTGAACGGTTGGCTTACCGTGAACAACGGGGAGATCGTTCGGGTAGAGAAACCACGAAAGAAAAAATCCACGCCAGGTAAGTTGGCTCTTCAACGAATCATATTTACAACAAGATTGCAAACTGATATTAATCCACTTTTCGCAATGTCTATGCCAATAATTGTTCTATTTGTAATGTCAAGTCCGATCCGAGGGGGGTATTGTTTAATACTGTCAGACCGTGAAGCATAAATATTCAATGTCCTGTTTCCAATGATCGGGAACTCGCAAAACGGATAAATATTTAAAGGCCATATGTTGGGTCATACTTTTTAATCTGAATTGTATGCCTTTTTCTGCCAGCTACAAAATCTTATCTTGGGCGTTTTAGTTTGCCGAAACATATTTTTACCCTCCATTTGCAACGTTCTCGAACGATGTCCTTTACAGCGCTAATTTTGCTTTCTTTGACAGTTTCCGAAGACAAGGAAGCCACGGAAAATGCAGCGCCTACATGTGTCGAGCTGCAGCACGAGCTCATTAGTCAAGAGATCGACAATAGACGTTTTTATACAATTCTAACCCGCCACGGTTTATAGCGCGATCTTATTTACATAGCCAGGAAGGAAGCATTGGGATGTTACATGGAAGATGTTTGAAAGGTCCTGCCAGTCTGTGTTGTGGAAGATCTTCGGAAACGGTGGCCAAATCCTAATGGAGTGCCATACTGTGCTCACCGTCGTTCATAAAACCAGCATTACAATACTCCATCAGCACTTCCCTACAAAATAGTATACATTTCTTTGTATAATGACAATAAGGTACAATAGAAGCTATATTCTTTCACAATACACTGTATGCCCTAATTCTGAACTCCACTATGCAATATCTTGAGGGATTGATCAGCATTTTCCATGTTCTTCTTCCACTGATTGTACCTTAGGTTGTGATCCTACTAGGAGAAAAAGAAGGAAATGGGTTGTAGTTTATTTCCTCTCAATAAAGATTATATCCTTGCGAAACCAATTTCCAGCTTTCTGTTAATTTCTGGAAGTTTCTAGAAATTTCTAGAATATGACAGTTTTATTCCAGAATCCTATTCTAGCTTTTTCCTAGAAGATATTTTTCCAGATTTTCCAAGTTTTAAGTTCTTTCAAAAGCTGGAAATAGCTGGAATTTAATGCATGTATTAGCTGCTGCTAGAAATTGACAGCTTTTTCCAGTCTGCATTGCTTGCAGAAAACTGGAATAAGCTGGAAGTAGTTAACAACTAATTTACATAATAGCAAACCTGAGAGAAATTGTCAGCTTGGTCAGTTTCATTTTATTTCAAAATCTTGAAATAGAATAGGAAAAGAAGTACTTCACCTTATCGCTTGATAAACTAAAAAGTAGTAACATTTACACAACTATCATTGGCTCTTTCCTTTTTTGGGGGGGGGTTTTACCTTTATGGGTTAGCATAAAATTCTAGATCTACCTTTTCAAGATCAGTGAGATCTTTTCTTTTTTGTTAGGAATGGTGATCAGTGATTTGATATTTAAAATAATGTTGCAGGAAACCCTGAGTAAATTGATTAACCAGTTTTGGGCAGGTACGCTTGATGTACAGTTCTAAGTCACCTGTCATTGAAAAATGAATTCTCAGTGAGCTGATTTTTTTTCATTAAGCAAAGCCACTATTAAAAAATCTATTAGCAGATTTGTCTGATTATACAGTCATCTAGTCAATGACTACCACTGGTTTTACGAAAATAAGTTTCTCATAATCAATTTAAAAATTCTGACAAATTCTCTTCACTGCAGAGTTTTGAATAGAAAATTGCATAAAAGAATTTACATGAATGAAAATACAAGATACAACTAGAACTTACAGCTTGTTTCTGTTGTCTTCCCTCGTATTTTAGTCCAAATTTTTCTTAAGAATTATTGAATCACATTGTGACTACCTCTGAAACCTTGAGAATGGTTGCTTTTGAGGCCTCACATCATGAAGAGCAAACTTTACAGAAAGATACTTAATACTACAAGTACAATGATAAATAAGTAAATGACTCACTTTTTTTGTAAATTACAAACAACTTTATCGACAATGACCGCTGAAATTTGGAGCCGTAGCAACACACCTATTGTTTGGGTTGCCAGAAAGGTAAATGATTTTCTCAAGGATACAGTCCACAGCGACAACAGTGTACTTGTCATCTTCACCTGCAACTCTGAGGAGGTGCTTTGCTTTATCACACACAAGGAAAGGGTTTTCAAAATCTAAAATAATGGGCTTAATTACAGCAAAAACGGTTTTTACATTACTCTCAAACAAAAAGTATTCAACAAAAGCCATGTAGTTCCCTCCATTATGCTCCACAAGAACTGCAAATCGACAATGTTTTCTCATTCTTTCATAGATCCTTGAGTAAATGACATGACCATTTACAATCACACGTTTTGCTTCTAAAAAGACTGGTCTATCGGTGTAACTTGAAGGAAGTAGTAAGGATGCCTGTTTATAAATGTCATTGTTGACTGCCCACTTCCTATGGGCTCCTGCAACTTGACAGTTTGCCGCATCCTTCACATTTCGTAGGCTTCTCTCACCAGATAGCATTTGCTCCACAAAGCATCGTACATTGATTTCAGTAATTAAATGGCATTTGGTTCAGAGAGAATTTTGAGCATACATCATCCAAATAAGTTGGCGACACTGGTTTCCTGTCCCATGAACACTCTCTAGTAGGGCTCCATTTAAATCTTCAAAAGGAAAACACGACCATGCCCAAAGGGGCCCCCATGCTTGTACATAAGTCACTAAATGTGCTCCAATATTATGCACATTTAGACTGCAGTTGCTATCCCCATAAAGAACCTGGTGATCCCTGTAAAAGCTGAATAAAACATCTCTAGCCAAAGATAGTAAATCTGGTGTTATATTATCTCCAAGTAGTATGTAAATACCTTCTACTAGGCAAGCAAAATGTTGCAAATACTTTTCTGGTAAAATGTCAATGAGGCATGGTATAGAATAAAAAAGAAGCCATGCTTGTAGTTCAGATGCCTTGAAATAAGCTCGACTTGTTTCCAGTTGTCGCGGAAGTCTTTGTATAAAGTCAGGTGGTTTCATTTCTTTCAGTCTTTTGTCAATAGTTTTTGTTTTGTGTCCAATGAACCAAGGCTTCTTATGTTTTGATGAGGACAACCAAAGATTAAGAAGTTGTTTTGTTACACCCAGTAAGACACCATGCATGTAGTCTGGGACAATTCCAAGTACCAGGTCAAACCAAGGAAGCTTTGCCAATGGTGTCACATCATGGAAACCTCTCACTCTGCGACCACTTTCCATAGCAGACAAAGAATTCTCAACCACACTTTCACTAGTTCTTAATGGGGCAGGTGGATCTTTGAAAGGATAACAACGTACATGTCCTTTGCCTTGCTTTGTAACAAAACCTTCCTCTTCGCAGGTAATGCAACCATTGATACCATTATGGTGACTCATGTACATAAGGTATGCTTTACCTTGTAGGTCTGTAGTGCCAAGTGCAAGCATAACTTTAGGACTGCATTTCTCCGAGATGGTGAAACCTTTACACTTCAGTCGGATAAGGTCATCTGTAAACACCTCAAAAAAAGTGGAAAACCTGGGTTTTCCCTTCCCTTGCCATAATCCCCAGAGTATCATGTTCTTCTTTGCAAACCGTTCTTCTGGAGGAAGTTCATTTATGGCAAGGAAAACAGGCCAAATATTAACCTTTGAAGATTTGTATAATGGTATGCCATCTGTATTAAAAAGTAGAGTTAAATTGGCTTTATTGGAGAGAAATCCTCCAGGTTCTTTAAATTTCCTGTATACTGTTCCATCAACAATGTCCCTGATATTTGATGAACAGTTTGGTGTGTCTTTATATTGTTGAATTTTCATCCAGATGCTGTTGCGCTCCAGAAGTTTTGTCAACTGCTGTTCAATTGAAACAGTCACAAAGTACAAGTTCCTCTGCTTTTTAGCCTGATTACCCAAATTGCCACCAAAACGTAAATCTGCACATTGGTTTCCCCCATTGTCTGTTGTATTGCACCGGTAAACACTCTCATCCTTTGGAAAAATCGAAAAGCACTTTCCACAATAATCAAAGACGTTAACAATGCAATCTCCTAGTGTTTCTTTAATCTCACTGAGTGTCAATGACAGTAAGGTGTTATCTTTTGGGGCAATGAATTTAAGAAGATCTAACAGGTCAACAGAAGCAGAGCCGCTTAATTTATGTTTAGCAATGTATGATAAAATTAGTATGCTCAGTTTCTCCTTTTCACTAACTAGTGACGGGGTCATGTCAACAGAAGTATCTGAGACTAAGTCTGTCTCCTGGTCTCCTGAGTCTGATTCACTACTGGATGTCGATTGCTCTGTTTCAGAGGAACTATAATCAGTGCAACTGGCTGCGGAACAGTCTGAGTCTGATGAGTATGTTACATCCACACAAATAACTGGGTCACAATATAAATTCTCAGAAGCTGGGCAATGAGTAACAACACTCTGGGCACTGTTCCCTTTGTTGTAACAATGTGAGCTTTGTCTTGAAATTTCAGCATCACAAGTGCTGTTATGAGCTAAAAAGTGTAAATATTCTTTTCCTGAAATTGACTGATAGAAACTTGAGACAAAGCTTGCATCTTCCTGTCTAGGTGATTCATTTGAAATAGCTGAGCAATGTTCAGAGTTAAAGCTTAAATTTTCCTCCAGATAAGCAGTAGAAGAGTTTTGTCCTTGAACAAAAGAGCCATTAGCTGAACACTTTCTTCTCCACAATCTCGTTCGGGAATTTAGGGTTTGTTGATGTTCTTTCTCGCCAAGGTTTGTTTTACCATGAGTTTTAATTAAATGTGAAATCACTCGCTGCTTTGAAGAGAGAAGACTGCCACACAAACTGCACTTCCACTTTGAGAGCCCATCAGGTAATGTAACACAGGTGAAATCTGGGTCCGTAGCATGAGCAGAATCCATATGTACGTCAAGATTTCTCTTGGAGACGAGCAACTTCCCACAAATGTCACACAACCACTTTTCGTCGTCTCCATTAGCTCCTCCTCGCAATCTTAAAACCGGCAGGCTAACTGAAGGGATAAATTCAGCTGGTTGGTTTCCTTTCCATGTTACTGGCATTTCATCTCCGTCACTATACCTTGTGGAGAGCTTTTCCTTGATTTTATACTCATAACGGTTAACAAACGCTCTACTGAAGATTGTTTCTTTGGAACGATTGTCATGAAAACATAACGACGTTATTGCGGTTTTGAATACAGCCAAGTGTTGAATTACTTTGGTATCTTTCAAATTTATCTTTTTAAAATACTCTTTAAGCGATTCAAATACTGGAACAGCCATTCTCGTATGGTTCACGCTGTCAAGTACTGCCATCTTTCGATGAAGGTTGAGAGTTAGCAAATATTGAATTTCCCAGCAGCTTGACATGGCACAGGACGCTCGTAACTTCACAATAGCAGCTGGGAATGTCTCAAAAAAGAGTTTGTTCTGGATAAATGATATCTCTTCCATATAGGAAATATGCTGATCGCTCCGATCAGTTGTAGCTTCCAAAGTTTTGCTGAGAACCGCCATCATTTATCGTGTGCGATCGTACGATCGCATAACGTAAAAGCTGTCGTTACAGCGATCACCCGGTCAGCGGTGAAATTCGTTACAGAAGGTAAACCTCGGGGTGGTTGCTTCGACCGCTTGCTTCAGAAAAAATGCAAAGTGTGTCCAGAGTATCCTTTATTTTGACGCGGAGGACTTTGTTACGGATTTTTTAAATTAACTCTGCAAGAAAGAGTGATGCTCGGGAAGAGTGGGCGCGAAGCGAATAAAAAGAATAACGATCTGGCAAACCGGTCAAACCTAATACCCCTGGAATTTCACACGTCTTTGTTTTCGACCCATCCCATGATGTGATATTTATGGCCGACTTTGTAGTGACCGCAGCTTTTCAATACGATCAAAGCAAGATTTCCACCAGATTTGAATTTGGAAGCGTCTATTCATTCTGTGACATTCGTATCTCCACGTGTTTTACCGTGATCGTCCCTGGCGTGCATTTTAACTTGGAGCACCATTCTGTTCAGCTGAGTTCTTTTTAATTTCGATTTCTGAAAATGCCCAAGCACAAGTACGTTGTCGTTGACTGAGGATCGTGGGGAGTGGAGGCGCAGAGTTCTTCCAAGATCATCGTTCGGGATCCCTTCAATGTGAGAGGAGATGAGTGTTCGCTGCAAGGAACGGTTCAGGGACAAAGAGACCCATGTTGTTTCATGGACATGTTCTTGCAGTATTTGGTTAGTTTGTACACCCAGTGTTTTTCTCAATTACATCGATTTTCGTTCTAAAGTGCATCATATGCTTGGTAAACCCGTTTTCCTCTGAATTACTTGGTTTGATCTTCACCTCAATGCTCATTAAACCATAAATCTTAAGACTTGCTCTTTGGTGTTAGGAGAGTTACTAATGATTTTTTTGCCAGGCATTGAGGGCTTCTTTAAAAAAAAAAACAAGCTGCAGGTCAAGTTGGAGTGCATTTCAGTCAAAATTACAGTTTAGTAGTTAGTCTAGCTTTAAAGCTAGTCTACTTAGTTATGTCTAGTCATAGTTAATCGAGGGTCCAGTTTTTACTACTTATAATGATCGGTAGTGGTGGAAGTACATGTAGACAGCTAAATTACATCTGATTTCATGTTTTCATATAGACACTAAGAAGGAAGCTGAAAACAAGGTCAATGAGCTGGTAACCCCTCAAGAAATCGAAGAGCCAGTCACAACCTTGGATGGACCTCGGCCTCGTCGAGAACCTAAGCCATCCAAAAGGAAGCTTGCAGCATTGGAGAATTCTGT